CAGTTTTGCTATCGGCTTTGGCCTGACAATTTTTTCTATTTCGGTTTCGTTTCGGTTTTTAAATTTCTATTTCCGTGCACCTCTAGTTATTATTATTATCACTACTGCAACTATAACTTTTATCCACAGCACTGGTCTTTAACCAGTTGACATCCGCGGTGTTAAACCCCCTTCCCATCCAGGCCATTTTTCAGTATTCAATAACATCGCCTATATGTGCTCGTTCGCGGCAGATCTCTGCTTCATCAGCTTCTTTTGGGGTCCTAGAGACCCCTAATATCTCCATAAAGAGGACCTGTCAGTGTGCCTTTGCTATTATATAGGGGGTTGTTATCCCCCTATATAATAGCAATAACAATAAGTGCAAAAAAAAAAAATATATAAAAAAAAAAAGAAAAGTAACACATAAAAAAATAAAATAAAATAAAAGCCACATATAAAAAAAGGGGAAAAAACCCCCCCAAAATGTTTAACTCCCCCACCCCCACGTTTACGCGCCTATAAACGTAAATACGCGTCCGGTGCCCCAGCGCGCAAAAATTACAATTGCGCTACACATGTTACATATCGCCGCGAACGTCGCAGTGAGAGCAATCATTTTAGGGCCATCAATCACTGATAACACTAAACTGATGAGCGGTAACAGCTTTTAAAGCGTCGCCTATGGCCAATTTTGGGTATTATCGTTTTTTGAGGTTTCGCGCGCGCACGCAATTTTAAGGCTTGACATGTTTAGTGTCTTTTTACCCGACGTGACCCCATCTTTTATATTTTACCAAAAAATTGGGTAATAATAAATGTTTTATCATTTAATATAGGGGAAACTGTTTTTTTTTTTAAATTTCGGTAATTTTTCCTTAATATAGTAAAAAAATAAAACCCCCAGTGGTGAATAAATACCACCAAAAGAAAGCTCTATCTGTCCCCAAAAAAGGGTATAAAATTCATTTCAGTACAGCGCTGCATGACGGAATAAATGTCAGTCAAAGTACCGCAGCGCTGAATACTGAAAAATGGCCTGGATGGGAAGGGGGTTTAACACCGCGGATGTCAACTGGTTAAACATGACTATGAATTGTGTCATGTTTTATGAAAATTTGTAACAACACACTATACTGTATATTGCTATATACAAATATGCCGGAAAAAACATGGGACGCTTCCAGCTAAAAAATGCTGCAAGGACTACTTTGTTGTGTTTGTTGCACATGCAGCACCCATTGAAATCAATGGGCAATGTGCGGCAAAAACATGCACGAACGTGTGTTCGTATGCATTCCTGCATCACATGAGGGTCTATTCACTAAGCTGCCGTAGGCAGCCGAGTGAATGACTGACCTGAAGTGAAGTGAGCCGAACACTGTTCGGTTGTTCACTTCAGGCTGGTACGGCTGATTTCAGCCATACATCGGCTTGCTTCACGTGGCTTCGGGTCGGCCGAATATGCTAGGCATGTTCGGCTGACCCGAAGTGCAGAAGGAGTTCGACTCAGCCGATTCAACATCTGGATCGGCTGAGCCGAACCTCTGGCAGGCTACTCACTGCTGTTCGGGCTATTCTTATAGATGCCGAACAGCAGTGAGTGAATAGCCGAATGCCGCTGAGCGGCATTCGGCTCGGCTGTTCAGCTCGGTCCCTCAGAGGTACCGAGCAGAACAGAAAAATAGTTTAAAAAGTTTAAAAAAAAGAAAATAGAAAACGATTATGCGGAGCTAGCAATGACTAGCAATTTTCTATTGTCCGGCGGTTCTGTGCCGTAAAAAAAAAAAACGAAAATAAAAAAAAACTCTCCCCTTATTGGCTATTGCAAATTGAAATAGCCAATATGAATCTAGTAATGCATTCCAATGGGCAAATTAGTTTTTTTCTATTCTGACATCGCTCCGTGTCAGAATAATAAAAAAAAAGACACAGCAGTGTTTCTCTCCTTGGCGGCCGGGAGCAGGAGACTCCCAGAGCGCCAGGGAGAGTTTGCTGTTTGGAGATCAGTGTCCCTGGTTAGCAGGTAACCAGGGACGCTGATCTCTCTGCAAGTGGCCGGAGCCAGCTGTAAGATCACGGCTGGCTCCGGCCAGCTGTCAGAAGCAGGCTGTCGGCCGGCCAGCTTCGGCTTTCAGAGCGGCTCAGCCAAGCCGAGGCATATGCGTTCGTCTCGACTGAGCCGCTCGGCCACGTTCGGGAGCTGTACGGGCTATAGTGAATAGCCCGTACAACACCCCTTCGGTTCTACTGAACCGATGGGGTCCTGGGGCCGAAGCTAGCCGAAGGATCGGCCAAATCTACGGCTAGATCCTTCGGCAGCTTAGTGAATAGACCCCATAGTGTGAACGGGGACTTAAGAATTAAATTTGAGGATTGTGTTTCTCTCATTAACTTCATTAACATACAATGCAAACCCCTCACCCCTCACAACCCCTCCTATCAAGAAAGAGAAGGGAGTAGCAATTTTAACCCTTAAGAAGCTAAGAA